GGGGGGGGGGGGGGTCGTCGTCAGGTTGGTGGAGATGAGGGCTGGCACGGCGGGCCCGCAACGCAAGGCAGGCAGGAGGCAGAAAAAAGAAAAAAAAGGGTAGGAAGTAAGGCAGTGGTTTTGCAAGGCCAGAGAGTTGTCGGGGAAGGCAGCCTTGTGTGACATAGTCCAAAGAACGACAGAGGGTACAAGTTGACCAGAACGACATCGACACCAACAGCCAAGTCGATGCGTTACAATTGAGAAGACTGTGCCACGCCATTACTAACTCACCCAGAATTGTTTGACAAGCGCGGCGGACCGCCAAAACGCCATTCCTCGCACGTCGCATTCGACCAACCTCCGAACAATACGATTGGCCCATGTCCATGGAGAGAGAATTCGGAAGTTGAGCCGAGTAGACACGTAACCGGGCCCTCTTTCGAACGGCGCGTCAACAAACACCCAGCTGCCACAACACAAGTCGTCAAGACAAAATATATGCGGTACTATGTGGTTCGTATAGCGAATACACCATACACCAACGTGGGCCAATGATCAATGCTCGATCATGCCACGACGAAGAGGACGTCAGAATCAAACGATACGAAAGGCCCTCCACGAGACGGTTCCAAGGCCGCCATAGTCGGCACCATCGCTACTGCTGTGATTCCTGCAGAGCAGTCAAGCTCTAAAGAACGGTCATTCAGGGGTGTGGTATCTTACGCAACACACGGTACGATTACTTCAAGAAAACAACAACCAAGACTTGGTCAGAAGGTTAGCGCGGTCGATGCTAGCCCCCGGGGGCTGATCGTCAAAAACCTCGATTACTTCACGACGAAACGAAGCGGATGCCAGTTGAAGAGACACACACGCAACTACTCACGCTTCAATATGAATGAGCACACAAGAACTTTTGTTCCCATCTCTGATTCACGGCCCGTGCAGTCCGTTTGCCTCTTCTCAACACACTCCCACAAGCCACATGCATATGGACCTATCACTCAGGACAACCACCACACGTACCTTATCGGAGAGGTACACCACCTCTCGGATGCCGCTCTGGATGATGAGCTTGGCGCACTCGTTGCACGGGAATAGGGCCACGTATATCTGTTTTTTGGGTTAGCGTATTTCGCACCAGCCGAGGGGGATGACGGGCGCAAATCTGGTCATCATCTCAACGGAAGGTAGGAGATTAAAAGCGGCCCGCTGCTGTAACCTCTGAAATTGACCAGCGAGGGGCGTCTACCAGCGAGAGGGGGACTCGCGGATAGCGCAAGGGTGGCGGTGGTATGTAGGCACAAGTGCCGCGACCGCAGGCACGAAAATAGAGGAGGGTGGCAATCGTTATCGTGCGCTTGGCGGCAATACAGCAGAGTACCAGCTAATAGAAGATACTTGAAACAAATCCTCCGGCCCGTCGTTCCTCTTTCTCTCTTCGCTCTCTCACACACCCTTACCAGGCACCCTTTGACGTCAGCGCTGTTCTTATTGAGAATCGCGTTCATCTCCGCGTGGCAGACGTACTGTACGCAGGCGAAACGGGCCCCGTGCCAACAGAAGAAGACAGGTTTTGCGTCCACGCAAACGCGTGGTCCGAGGCAGTGAGTACAGGAGGGAAGAGGGGGGGGGGCACCGTGGCAACGAGTGAGGGGATGGCGGGGGGGGGGGTCACAGCCAACACATATGTGTACCATACGTTCATATGTAGCCCTTCGTTCCGGCACCCACGTGTGTCCATGTTTTGCTGCGGTTGCTCCCGGCCCCTTGTCACAGGAGAAAACGCGGCATCTCATAGAATACACTCCGCCTCGCTGCAACGCTTCCTTGACACCCGGTTCGGGAACGGGGGGGCAAGGGCGAACGACCCCGTGTACATCGCCCGCGCCAGGAGCTGAGCAACCCTCGAAAAAACCGGCCCGATCCAGCAGGAGCACCGCGATGGCGACCTTTGCCCAACTACATCGCCCTCTCTCACCGGAACTGAAACAAATTTTCCCATATATATATTTTAACACAACGCAAATCCCCATCAACAAAACTACCCCAGCAGCACCACGGCGAAACGAAAAACGAAAGGGAATCCTCGTACTTCTTCAACTTCTTCAACCAGTGTATTGATTCTTGCACCAGCAAGTAAGGGCACAACCAAACCAGCCGCGCCAACGACAGAAGACAGCAGCGCTTCATAACCAAACGCGTTGTTTGGTGTACACGGCGGTCGCCGTATGACAACACGGGGCCTCTGGGGGTTGACATATATAGTGCGACCCGACGAGTAGGGCGTTGCGGAGTCCCTTGTGCCCTAGGCTGTCTAGCTCGCCTCCGCATGAGGCTTTGCGCATGTATTTCGACACGACTGACGCTCTGATCAATAGAAGCATGTCACATATCTCCACACGAATCGGGTGTTAAAGTCTGGTCAACCACCGAACACACAACACACGAGGTCTTGCTCAGAACAGAGCCGGCGTGTTCAGACAACGGACTAGGAGGAACATGCCGACCGGCCTCACCGGGTACTTCGTGTCCAGCTCGTCGTCTGCCCGGCGCGCCCACGGCAGATCGTCGTCGCTGCATCCCATCGGGAACCCGTTGTAACCGATGCCCACGATGCGCTTGTCTTGGTTTACGATGCTGTCGTCGTCGTCGTCGTCGTCGTCGTCGTCGTTGACCGCATGGCCGTTAGAGTCGAAGAAACGAAAGTGTCCAGTTGCAAGTCAAAGGAAAACAACCAGAGGCATCGAACGCACGCGAAAAGTGTTACATCATACTCCATTTGAGGGGTTTGTATCGGGCCGCGAGCAGGGAGCGGCGATGTGGGGGCGGCAGCAGGAGCAAACGCCACCGTCTCAATCCTTGAGCTCAGAAAGAGGGTAAACCACGTGGTTGCAGCGAGGAAGAGGGTCCAGGGGAGGAGAAACATGGGACGCACGCGGTGTGGGCTCCCGAAAACACGCCTCTGGCGTTGCTGGAGATACCTGGTCACGCAACGCAACCTGCAAACAAACACAAACAATAGCACTAAACAAAAGCTCACGAGTAAACCAAACACTAGTGGCACACACCACTGTAACGCAAACTACCATTTTTCTTTGGTATGGTGTGTTGGCAACGGCGGGTACAATTGCTACCAGCAGCTGCGAGATCACCCAGCTAACTCACCAAGCCCCGACCTGGGTAGACGGATCCTTCGACCGCATCGCGCTGAGAAACGCGACCGACATGAAGTAGTCATCCCACACCAGGTAATCAATCCTCTTCTGCGTCCGGTTACCGGCGGCGGCGGCGGCGGCGGCGGCGGCGACGCCTCCCGCCGCGACGCCCTCTCCCTCCGCCGCCTCCTTACCACTCGGCGACCGCGCCCGCCCAGCGTTGGTCTCTGCTGCCTCGGTCGGCAACGCGGCGTCCGCAAGGGGCGCATGCCGGAGGCGTTTCGCTGCTGGATGCAGTAATTGTAGTCGGCGGCGGCGGCGGCGGGGTCCCCGTGGAGGGAGTGGGGTGGCCACGTGTGTCAAGAGGCGACGGCGGCGTTTGCGGTGAAGGTGGGAGGAACACATATCGTTCTGGGTCATGGGGGTGTTGGGCCTAGTAGGCCCGTCCTTGCTGAGGCGCCTTCTGTTACATAGGCAATTCTCAACGTACCCAGGCTGTGCAGTCCTCCCGCTGACTGCTGCTGTGCCGCACAACTCTGTCCCTGCACTGCGTGCCAAACCGCCGCGGAGCAGCAAGTGCGCCGTTCTTCAAAATATGATTGGTCCCCCGACTCCTGACCTGGCCTTAAACGCTACTGCTGTCCGGTACTTACGTTTCCCGGATCTCTACCAAGCGTGTACGGCGGGCGAGTTTTACCTCTGTTCCCCTCGACGGGGAGGGTGGCGCCTCGAGATGGCTTGATAGAATCGCGAACAGCGGTCGTCTCGCCAAGTACATCACGTGGTGCCCGACGTGGCACCTCGTCTTGGGCGGTGTCGGCATTGGAGCTGGCCGTGGCCGTGGGGACGACTTGCACTTCTTTTTTGTCGCGCTTGAACGCACCCAGCAACATCAGAGGCATAACAGCAGCAGCAGCGGAGTGCAGAATGCCAAGCTTGGCAAGGAGGAATGGCTGTAGATGTTGGTAGATGCGACAATTACAAAACAACATTCCGCCGCACTTGCAGCGAATGCATCACGTTTCGTGTCCCTTTCGAGCTGCACCTCCTCTGAATGCTACGATTTGCATCGACGCACCACGAGGCACGCCACCGTTGGTGAGAGACGCGTCGGGCGCCAGGCTCTGCGCACTCTCAAACATTTACACATCTTCTACTGCTGCTGAAAAGACGACTGCCGCTGTAGTCTACAAAGTATATCATTTGTAGGAATGTCATCGTCGGACGCACAACTAGAAAGTAATGAAGGATTTCTTCTACACAAACTTTCAGTGTTTCTTGGAATCTTTTTTGAAGATATGCATGCGTGGATAAATCCCGAGGTCTGTGTTGACGTCAAAACGGCCATTGCGCGATCCACACAGCTTCCCACTGCTGTACAGCGGACATGTGCCCTTCTGCCGGCCGGTATGTCATTGCAGGTCACGGGGGCTGAAACGCACAGGACATACTCTAGCATGTACTGCTACATGTAGCGTGTAATACGCACGACAACCATATTCAGCGTCGAAGGACACCAATTCGCGATTCCCGAGAGAGACTGTGGATGGTACACACAACCTCTTACCGTCCATCGGCGGTGCAGCAGACGGGTATTGCGACCTCTTATGTGTTTGTCACTGCAGGTAATGGTGACTCGTCGACGTGCACAGCGTCCAGGCATGTCAGTCTATGCACTGCTACTGCTGTCCCAAGCAGCTGCTGCCCCACGCAAACATGCACCAATCACACTAAATACAACCGTGTAGATTACGACAACGAAGGTATGGTACACAGCTTGTAGACTAATCCTGTATCACGTGCTTCTGTATAACGTTGTGCATCATGATTTTGATGTGGGTAGCAGACATGCAAGCGGACTCTATGTGTGGGTCACCCGCCAACAGCATCACAAGCAAGGGTGGCCTCGTCCGACGAATCGACAATCAAGAGCACGATATGCAGACCGCCTGCGTGAATGCAAACAAGTACCTCTTTGTAACGTTCAAAGTCGGCGAGAGTATGTATGTGTCCACCGCTGCAACACGTGCAGACTAGAGTTCTGCACTGTTCTCGCAACCACCACAGTCAATGACATCTACACTACACTTCGACATCTCCGAGCTATTACTGTTCGGACGGACGTACAACAACCAAAGAGGACAAACAGTGAATGGACGTCACTTCAATTGGCTACGGCACGATCCCAACTACGGCTACGGTGAACTCGATGAAGCCATAATGACAAAAGATACGGACGGCTTACCAACAGGTTTCGCCGTATATTGGCCGCCTTACAGCTGCAATGAGCAGCCGGTGCGTGCGATGTGAAACAAACTCAGTTACATGTTCTACTTCCTTTCTTTTGATTCCAAACAATTGTACATATGTTTCATTAACATATGTTTCGATTCCCTCCTCAGAAAGAAGCTAGCATGGTTACACAATGATCGCAATATCATCAGACATGTACTGTCTGCATTGCAATCCATTTATTATCTGTAAGACCACACTCACTTGCCAAAAATCGAAAGATCAACGGTTCTGTTATACGCATGTCGCCTTAGGCCTCGATCCAGAACGATATCAAACTCCTTGGCGTATTCGTCACCTGATGTGCTCCTCCTACGGCAATAATGGCCGTCCACACACGAGCTAACAAAAGGGGTCAGGCCGCGTGGAAGAGCAGCAATGACCAGGACACCCACCGGCGAGAAAAACGTCATCTCCGCTTACGAGAAGGACTGTTTGCCGTTAACGTTCCCATTGCTTTTCCCATAAGGCAGGGCATCCAGCTGCACGTTGCCATGAAAAGCACAACTGGTATACTGTCACACCCGCACCATGTGTAACACAGTTGTTATTGGTTCGGGAACCCCGATTTCAACAACTTGATCCTTTGGTGAACGAATTCTTCATCGACTTGTTCAGCTGCATCGAGGATCAACGAGTCACCTTTGACGCAGATAACCAAGATAACCAAGACAAGTTCCGCACGTCATTATACTACCCACAATTTGGCGGTGTCACGGATATCAAGATCCCTCGGGACTGCTAGAGGGATAGAGTTATCATACCGTCCAGTTCTAGCGGTGGATTTGCAGATCGGGCGAAAAACCTCACGGAAGAAGCGATGGCCATCTCACGAGCGCTGCAACAGCACAAAAAAAAAACATGCTTAGACTACACAACGAATGAAACATTGGTTGATGGACGTTTGGACAACTTGTACCACATCCGTCCAGCCCTGAGAGGCCACAACCGGGAGGTCAGCGGCGTCATCGACGAATACGATACGTTGGGCACGACCATTCCCCAACATATTGCACAGATCTTAGAATCATCCAATTTAACTACCTTCGGTTTGCGATTCGGGCCCCGGCGCCTGCTGGGGGCAGCGAGGCCCTTCACTCCCCTACCATAGGTTTCGTGCGACATCACAATCCCTGGACCGATTTTCAAAGCTCGATTACTCAACGACGAAGAGGATGCCGAAATCAAAGGATATGTTTTCGGAAAGTTCTTGACGAGACGGTTCTAACGCCGCAGTTTTCGGCATCGTCACTGCTTGTCCTGCCGAGAAATCGAGCTTCGAAAATCAGTCCAGGGGGTGTGATATCTTATGCAACCTTCGGTATAGTACTCCTGTATATACGTCCAGAGGACAAAATTCAAAAATTCAAACAGCTGGCGGAATCTTGCGGACTTGCTGCTGCTGTCGAGACGGAGCTCGTGTTTCAGTACGCTGTTGCTGCTGCTACCGCTCAGGCTACAAACCGAACATCCGGCGGCGAGACGAAGAACTCCACTTTGACACTGGCATGTAGGCTACACCCATGTCGTGCCGCGGGTGGGACACCCGCGCAAGCGAAAGCCGCACATCTGCTGCTGTATGCACATGCGGACACAGCGGCTTTGGTGCCGTGACGGCCTGCGTACACCAAGCTGTGTGTATCGTATCGGGAGAACCGAGGACAGTCTTGCCGTGGGCTGTGTCTTCTCTCTGAAGAGGAACCGTCCGCACTCACCCCACTCATGGTCCGCCAGGCGTGCGCTTGCGGGAGGCAGTGCCCTTGGGAACAGAGCGCACCTCCAGCGACCCCAGCACTGCCACCGCCGCCGTCGATCCGCAAGTCACAAGATGATGACGATGATGATGAGCAGCAGACGGACACCGACAGCAGAACCAGCAGCCCGCGCAAGAAACTAGCAGAGGGAAGTAGAGAAGAAGGCGTAGCTGCAGTGGGCTGGGGCTTTCTTTTCACCATCCAGACGGGACCAACACATCAACTTGTTGAAGGCACACCCACCAGCGCTGCGCCCAAGGCAGCACAACCCACAAACCCACAAAAGAGCCATGATTATATCCCCCTCGCCCTCATTCTGTCTGTTGGACCCCCTCTTCCCGCGAGCCCGCGATTCAAGAGAGATGAATTCGGCCCCCATGTCACAGCTTTTTAATTTCCGCACGCATCGCCTGCTCCGGCGTACGCAAACGAGGAGAGGGGGGTCGACATCACACTCGGGCTTGCGAGACGCGAGGCGCAGGTGGATTGTTGCTTTCAAAGGAAGGGGCGCGACGGTGAAAGATCGGGTGGAGCCACGACGGCAGGACAACCAAAACTCGAAAAAAGGTTAGGTTCTTTCATGTTGTCTGTCCCAAGGCTCCCTTTTGTTTTGCTCCTCTCTCGATCTCTCACGGCACTGCTCTCTCCGCCCTCATTGTAAGGTGGTGATGAGAACCAGAGGCCCTGTGCTTGTTCCGCAAGGTTCAGCAGAGCTCACGCCATAGAGAGTCCTCCCGGATCCCAAGGTTTCGGATCCCGCCCTGCTAACGGATCGTGAAGTGTGCACGTCGTCTTTGTTTTTATTTTACGCCGTGGTCACCGTTCGTGTGGTTGATGCACCCACCGACTTTTTTTCACTATCGGGTGGCGTAGGTGAGCAGCCTAGCCACCCGGGCATGCTCCCGTGGACAGGACGGCGGGTGCACCTGGCCTTGGGTTGCATAACACACGGCGCTCTACCGCGATCTCCGCAACGAAAACGAGCATCCCAATCCAGTCCGATCCTCAGCAAGTCGGCAATGGGAGTCACTTGCATATTCCTGAAAGAATGAAAGTCGAACACTGCTGTATGGAAAGAATTTTTCTCGTGTTGTGGTACCATATCTGTACCACCAGCACGCTTTGGAACGAACGGATTGCTTCCTTACTAACGGCTCCCACGCGCAGCTTGCTGCGCACTTGAACGAGGAGCACCACCCCGCAAGCCCCAAATATATGTCGATGACCGTCTGTCTGACCCGTAGCAGTGGCCTGAGAGGCGGAGCGGCCTCCTCAATCGGAAAGAGGAGAGAACAGGTCTTCTTCCATCGAGATTGTGCACACGATAGTTGACCATCGTGTGAGGTGTCGTGGTGGTCTTGGACGCGAAGAATCAAGAATCGATTCTCGACCCACCAAATATTCTTCTTTTTTTGAAGAAAAAATTATTGTCGTTGTTGTTTCTCTTCACATTCAACTCGTGTCAGTTGCTAATCCCAAAATCTAGCGAAGACTCGGTCCGTGGTCACAAAAATGCTTGTAGAGCCATCAGAAGATCTGAAGAACACACACAAGTAGCAAGAAAAGGGTAAGCAAGCCCGAGGAGGTACTACACCTGCAATCCCTGCAGCACGTTTGCGTGCTCACAACTGAACTACACGCCCACACACCACAAATCGACTACAGCAGCAGCATCACCCCCCCTTGTCCCGCACTTCACCAAAATGAGTGTCGACTACAGCGTATTGCTGTCTGAAGTGTTGCCGGTACAATAATAACGCCCATGGTGCACGGTACACAAGCTCGGGGCATGCAGCTGCCGTCTGAAGTGCTGTCAAAATGAGTCCGTGGACATTGAATGAAGAAGAACAACCAACCAAAGCCATTAATATTGCAGTTCACAATCACCCGAATCTATCCAGATCATCTGTGTTAAGCACAGCAGTGTAAACATCGACACTGACTAGGAATCGCTCCACATCCAAGGGGTCTTCCACGATGCAGGTACCCAAATTTAAGGCACCCGAGTGTTATCCGCGCCATCTCTGCGGCGTCTCTCTAAAAAACCATTGACGTCATCATACACGCCCAACATCTATCTATATTCAAGAAAAAAACGGAAAATAATTGGCAAACAAGAGAAGTTTGTCCGTGCGCCATGGACGGTTCGATGCCGCCCGCATCCTCCGTTGCCGCTGTGGCCAGTCCTAGCACGACCAAACTCGACCCGCTCCGCTTCGCACACGCTCTCGTTGCTGTACTTCCCAGTCTGTTAGTCCTTTTCTCCCTCGATGCACTTAGGGTTCTTGGTGTGAAAATTCTCGCGCCGAAGGGTCAACCAGCTCAATCAGCTCGTCACCACCTGCCCCCTCCTCCTTTGATGGCAAGACCAGGTTACTGAGACAGTAGTCTACAGCTCCCTCTAGCAAACCTAGGGCCGTGCACATAGGGCCCGTCCACCTTTCTGATGACGTCTGCCTCCGCGCACAAAGATGAGATGGACATTGCTGCCTACACCGACGGCCATGGAGACCCTCGCATCTGCACCTTTGTAGCCTTCTTCCCCTCGCTGCCTCGGCAAGGTTTTGCTTAGGCATGACCCATAGCGAGGGGGGGGAAATTTTCTAGCGAGCAGGGCTAGACTCACCCTCAAGGGACCGATACCTTCTTGCTGCGGCGCACCCGCCGCCATGCGTACGTAATGGTGGAGTTGGGTCGGCACTGGTGCGTCAGGTACAAAGAAAGGCGCTGGTGCGCGGGCCTCCAGGCCGTCGGTGCAGGCAGCAATGCCCATCTCATCTTTGTGCGCGGAGGCAGACGTCATCAGAAAGGTGGACGGGCCCTACGTGCACGGCCCTAGGTTTGCTAGAGGGAGCTGTAGACTACTGTCTCAGTAACCTGGTCTTGCCATCAAAGGAGGAGGGGGCAGGTGGTGACGAGCTGATTGGGCTGGTTGACCCTTCGGCGCGAGAATTTTCACACCAAGAACTCCCAAGTGCATCGAGGGAGAAAGCGAGGAACCGACTGGGAAGGACAGCAACGAGAGCGTGTACGAAGCGGAGCGGGTCGAGTTTGGTCGTGCTAGGACTGGCCACAGCGGCACCGGAGCATACGGACGGCATCGAACCGTCCGTGGCGCACGGACAAACATCTCTTGTCAATTATTTTTTCGTTTTTTTCCTGAATATAGATGCTGGTCCTGTGCGATGACGTCAATGGTTTTGTAGAGAGACGCGGCAGAGATGGCGCGGATAACACTCGGGTGCCTTAAATTTGGGTACCTGCATCGTGGAAGACCCCTTGGATGTGGAGCGATTCCTAGTCAGTGTCGATGTTTACACTGCTGTGCTTGACACAGATGATCTGGATAGATTCGGGTGATTGTTTACTGCAATATTAATGGCTTTGGTTGGTTGTTCTTCATTGTATGTCCACGGACTCATTTTGACAGCGCTTCAGACGGCATGGCTTTGGTTTGTTGTTCTTCATTGTATGTCCACGGACTCATTTTGACAGCGCTTCAGACGGCAGCTGCATGCCCCGAGCTTGGGTACCGTGCACCATGGGCGTTATTATTGTACCGAGAGCACTTCAGACGCAGTACGCTGTAGTCGGCAAACATTCATTTTGGTGAAGTGCGGGACAAGGGGGGGGTGATGCTGCTGCTGTATTCGATTTGTGGTGTGTGGGCGTGTAGTGCAGTTGTGAGCACGCAAACGTGCTGCAGGGATTGTAGGTGTGGTACCTCCTCGGGCTTGCGTACCCTTCCCTTGCTATTATAATATAGTGTGTGTTCTTTAGATCTTCTGATGGGTCTACAAGCATTTTTGTGACCACGGACCGAGTCTTCGCTAGATTTTGGGATTTAGCAACTGACACGAGTTTAATGTTAAGAAAACGACAACACCCTGACGCACCAATGCCGACCCAATCCCACCACTATACGCACGTCTCGCGGCGGGTGCGCCGTGTCAAAGAGATATCGGTCCCTTGAGGTTGAGTCTAGCCCTGCTCGCTAGAAAGGCCCCCCCCCGCTCGCTATGGGTCATGCCTGTGAGCAAAACCTTGCCGATTCAGCCAGGGGAAGAAGGGAAGATTATGGGATATCTTGGTCTGCTCATCTTTTCATGCGCAGACCACACAGCAATCAATCGTGGTGGCGAAGTGCATTTCACGCAGGGTCTTCTGCCTCTCGCCTTATTGCTTTGTTTGGTTCCTGTTGTCGTCTTCATCTGAACGTTCTGTCTCTGCTATGCGTAGTACCCGTACCTTCTAAAACCCGTACATACACGGGTCCGACGCGGTTCGTTCGCCTTCCGTGGTTACAGGCAAACAACCCCGTATCTCACACCTCATTTTTGGAGCAGTAAGTGCACCCCACACCCCACACGCGTACGGTTTGATGCATGCCGGTAGGTAAAAGTACGGTACATGTGCAGCGCGGTCATTACCTCTACTAGATCGGGAGGTGGAGTAGTTTTTTGTTGAAAATATATATCTGCAGTAGGCTCGTCGTGCGTTGCTACCATTGGCCCGTTTACTACACAGCAGCAGTATTACAATATTTTGATTGAGGTGTGGGGGGCGCCAATCAATGTGACTCCGTGTGTGTGCAAAAAAATACACCTCCACACGGACTCGAACCCATGACTTCGAAGGTCAGGGTGGCCTTCACGGAGTTCACGAAGTGAATTGGCTTGTTTTACAACGTCGTTACCAATCGACGAAAACCCAATCCCGATGGCAAACACCGAGGGGGGGGCTTGTTTTACAACTTC